TCGCAGAATGTGGATCTCTTTTCCTGATAAAACAATGACTCTGGCTAAGTCTGGTGATAATTACAATTACAAGAGACTGAGCAAAGACTGATAAAGTCCAATGCCATATATGTTGGCAGTATGCCACAATGCAGAGGCTTGATTTCCCGCTATAATACAGAGTATAACCCTCCACTGGACCCAAACGGCAACACATAAATAGAAAACACCACTTTCCCAGTTCCTGACCAGTGTTGGTCAAGTTACTTGGAAATAGCAATCAGTTACTAATTACTGATTACTTCTCCAAGAAAGTAATCCCATTACTTTACTGATTACTTATTTTCAAAAGTAATTAGTTACTTATTATTTAGTTGCTTTTTAAAAACATGATGCACAACCTGAATACATTATAAAGCCATAGAACTTTCAGCCCAGTTCTATTTTTTCTGCATAATCCAACATATAAAATTGAATCAAATGAAAAAGTCTATTTTTAAAACTTGTTATATTAGTTTTAATCTTTTAACTTTAGGCACATTGCAACAAGCAAAAATTAAATTCTATGCAACATCCTCTGATCGGAAGAAATTTGTTTAACATTTAAACCTATTTTCTGCATGAAATTTCCCCTTGTGGGACTAATAAAGGTATATCGATTCAATTCAATTCCAGCATATAAAATTAAATATTTTTTGTGTGCAAGTAAAACACAGCAAAAAAAATAAATAAAACCAAAGATTTAACAGCACTAAGTCCTGTTGCCCTTAAATCTATTTTCACCTGCTTAGCAGGAGAGGGGCCGGTGGAGGTTTGCCCGGTGCCGCAGCGGTCATGTCAGTAGGCGGGATCCGGGGGTTTCTCTGTGAATTTCACGTTTCCATGGCAGAGTGCTTGGGGCTTGCTCAGATTTGAAGTTTAATTTTTTTGCTGTAGTGAGAAGTTTTCTTTTCACGCAGACTTTACAGTGAACGCTAAGATTTTTGTCACTTTTTATGGAATCAAACTCAAAGTAATGTCAGTACGTCCAAGCCTTAAACTCTGCATGGTCGAGTTTGTAGAGTGTGTAGATCAATCCATTGTTGATCTACACACGCCTGTTGCTACCACAGATATCTCACACATGTACGTCATCGTCATGAGACACTCTCACAAACAAAATCATGGTTTAGTAACGCAGTAGCGCAGCATGCTTATGAGAAAGTAACAGTAATCTAATTACTTTTTTGCAACAGTAATACCTTACGTTACTCGTTACTTGAAAAAGTAATCAGATTACAGTAATGCTTAACGTGCTACTTCTTATCTCTGTTCCTGACGCAGTCCAGCTGATGTACCCGTTGCACCCTGCTGCACACTTATAATGACTGCAGCTACTTTACCTCATGAACAGTAAACAGAGAAAATCACAGAGTGCATACTTAGGAACATCTCCCCGCGGGACCGGATATGCTCTGAAATGGAGACCAGGTGATGCAGGCTGTCCATCTCAGTCGTCGAGGTTAATGGAACCTGTGGGGGCAACGATCTGATAATGTACCGGTAAAAGGAAATGAAAGCTCATTAGTGAAGTATGCAGGGCTGTTGGATGGAGCTCATCACTCAAGGGAATTCAGGTGAGTCATAAAGGGACAGAAAAAGAAACAAACTTCAAAACTTTGACTCCAGTCAAATGTGGAAACAACGGCAACAACCAAACTTCTGGTCATCTAAGCTACACATTTTGACGCTGATACTCAAACTGATCATTTATTAACATTTATTTGCAAGATAACTTTAGTATATTTAATAAAGCCATGCAAATCTTTACCATCTTTTTATGAATATTTATCAAGTTACAGGCCCTCAAAGTATGTGGGAGTTGGCTCTTTTTAATTCTCCTCAGTTTTCCAGCAATTTGCAGCCTTATTCTTACTTATAGGAGATGTCCAGATGACAGGAGGACACAGGACGAATCAAGCTAGAAGATGAGCCTTGCATGCAAATTCATCGAAGGAGATCTATCACAGCTGCCCATGCCACATGGTGCTATGACCCTCGAATGTTTACCCTGCATACACTTTTTGAAGTTTTCTCCAGTGAATTATCAGAAACCGGGTCAGACATCCAGGGTAGCAATGCTAGTTTCTGCTCTTTTACTTCATGCATATTAAACTGGTGCAGTTTACTGAAAGGTTTAATGGATTTAAACCTCCCACGCACACATCCAAACCATCTCAGACTATCTTTACTACCTCTGCTCCTTGCACCGTCACATTTCCATTGGTCTCCCTGTCGTTGACACATGTATTCTGTCTAGCTTCTATTAGACTTTCATTCCTCTTCTCTCCACACCTCCACCTTTCCAGGCTCTCTTCAAATTGCTTTCCATTCTTAGTGCAGATCACAGTGGTTTCTGCAAACCTAACAGTCCACGGAGGCTCCTGGCTGAACTCACCTGTCAGACTGCCCATCACCACTGTAAACAAGAAAAGGCTCAGAACAGATCACTGATATAATCCCTTGAAACTAAGTCACTTGTGCTGCACACCTCACACTCCTCATACTTCTCTGCCACTTCCTCATGCAGTACATCAGTTCCTCTCCTGGTACTTCTCCATCAACACTCTCAAAGCAAACATCACAGCTTTAGTGCTTTCTCAGCTGATGGTCACTCCTCTTTGCTGACCGTACAAATCAAATAAATAATAAAGAATTATTTTATTTCAGCATCAGAGACAGGGGTTTAGCACAGAACTCTGGCTCTTTAACATAAACAGCCTCAGTGGAGATCCCTTCTTTTCTTGATCTCCTACCCAGTAATTTAATACATCTACAATAACTCTGCAGAGTTTGATGTTAACTGCAAAAATAATTGAATTTGAATCTCAATTTCAAATTTGGATTCTCAAAGGTAAATGTACATGATTGGCTGAAACAGAAAATGTGTGCTTCTACAATAGAACACAAAGCAAAAGCAAACCAAGCAAACTCCTTGAATCACTACCTGATGATGTGTCTGCGTGGAAAAAGTCACAGGTGCCCCACGCACACCTTAAGTTTCTTGGAGGTAGAGTCTGGATGACTTAAAAAAAAAATACAAAAACATTAAATTTGACACACAGAAGGTGAGGAGCTTCTCATTTGAAACAACTGAAAGCGAGCCGGTCCGGTGAGTCGGCGCATCCATCCAGTGCACAATGACACACTGAAATCACCAATGTAAATGCGGTGACTAAGGAAGGCTTCGGGAACGAGGTGAACACACTGGACAAAAGATATGTTATTCCTGCACTTATTTCACTCGCCATAGTGGGAAGACCTATGCTGCATGCAAAACATCACAGAAGGAAATAAAAGAGATCTCAATAGTGTTCTGCCATGATATTCATTCATAGGGCTGATAGCAGTTTATGTATATTTTAGTCAAGTTCAGTATGCAGTCCACTCTGTTGCGTTACTTGTAAATTTATTTTAAAAGAAATATACCTCAATCATGTGCTATGAAAGATGTCTGAATCTTTGTGTTGATCATCATGTCAGTTTTATAGCAAAAAGTGCTTTTCAGTCAGGCGCATTTCATTCCTTATCTCCAAAAAAAGCCAGTTTCAATATACACGAAAAGCTGAAAGGTGCGTTTTGCTATATTAACGGATTGTTGGGTAAAGTAAAAATCAGTGAATTGTAAATTATTGATGATTCGTCTCATAAGTCACGACACTGCTTTTACCTCCATAAGAGGAAATTATCAGTATTGGTATTGGCAATGCTCGTCCTGTAATTTCTTTTTTTCATATTGCATTGATACAAAAATTCGAAGTATTGCACAGCACTACCGTTAGTTTTGTTTTGTTTTTTTTACCCATTAGCTCAGAATAGTAAAAAATACTTCAGTAGGGGACTGAAGTATACATTAGTGAAAAGGATGATTCGGCGTTTTCTGCTTTGGTCTTATCTGATTGCAGAAACTGTTTCTCTACTATGCTAGAAACAATCCTCATGTGTTATGTAACATATTTATACATCGTCACCCATAAACCAGCTCCGGGTTAAAACACTGAACTGCTGTTACTGCTATTATTACATTTAATCTAAAGTTGCAAAACCAGTGAGTGCTCAGATGTGCTCGTCTCCATCTAGTGGTCAATTTTATTTACTGCAAATACATTCATTCATTCCAACTTCAGTTAGAGGAAAGTTCTGGAGAAAATCACAAGCAGTATTTCTTTGATATTTATTTGATTAGTTTTAATTTAGAATTTAGACTCAAATTACACCGATGATTTAGATTCAGAAAAAGACATGGTGGCTGCAGAATAACCCTGACACCTTCACTGTAGCTGAAATAGACAGGTACTTCTATTGCTTTTCTACTCTGAGCACTTTCTTACTACCAATTTTGTTCACTCAGTCCTACAAGTGTTTTTAACCCAACATTCACACAAGGATGGAGCAACTCCGGTATCTTGCCCAAGGATACTCTGGAGTAGCTGGGTATCAAACCAGTGACCTTCCAGTTAGTAGAGCTGCTTTATTTATGTAAGAGATTATGAAGATCTCGTGAACTCATGTGAAGTTATAGAGAGGGTGTATCACTAATATAGGTCATCTCAGGCTGTTGAAATCTTCTGGTTGTGAGGGAAAAGTTGACCTAAAAAAGAAGGGGCTAAAATTTCTTGCTTCGGACAGGGGATAAACTGAGGATAAACCCAGGATGAGATAAATATGGATTATTTTGAACTGAATAATAAAATCTACGGATGAAGACATGCAGGTAGAAGTAAACAGAATAGCTCCTATTTAATATGCCTTTATGTAGATGAAACCTGATAGCTCTGTGACGATAGCACTCCTAAACAAAGGTATCCAATACAGCTGATTATTACTCTTCAGGCACTGAAGAGTAACATCTGTGAAATTCTGATAAGTCCTGAAAGAATTCCTCATTTCTCAGCTTATACTTTTGTGGCAAAGTACCTGAGAGCCTCATTGTAGTCGTCAACTTCAGAAACTCGACGAAGCAATTAAGACGTGAGACGGAGTAGACGGAGGGCAAACATTTTAATAAGATTAAGAACCAGAAATATCAAGTACTACAAGCTATGGCCAAACAAAGTAGGACTCGCTGCCTCAATTATAGCCAAAAAAAAACAACAAAAACAAATCAAATAATCCCTCAAAGTATGAAGAGAGTGGCTACATGAGTGTAAGTTCATCACAAAGACACTGGAGCTCCCTCAGTAAACACTTAATCTGACAACAATAATCTGTCTCATTTCTACATAAAGGACATAATATTCACTCACACATTCACTCACACGCACTCACAAAGAGTACAATGAGAAACGCCTGCTGTTCTGATTGGTTACAAATGATTCACAAAGGAAATCATGCACCTGAAGAGCTTGATTCTGTTCTTCCTCAGCACGAAAATGTCTGACACCCGTTACAAAACCAGACTGTACCGGTAAACAGCGAGCCATGGGCTCCTACCCTCACGAAGTAAGACATATTTGAAAAATACATTTGCAACATCTTTGTGACTAGAAACACAATTTGCATCACTGTGTGTGAGATGAGAGCAAAGAAAGGAAGAAAAGTAAACTCAGCCTAAAGCCTCACTGATGCCTGGGCCCGCCCAGGTCGACGCAGGCCGAAAATACATCATTAAATATTCACATAAGTTAGTAATGCGTATGGCATCCTGTCATGTACAGACATATCATCTTTAAACCAGAGGGATGCACCACAAAGCAAACTGAACACAGCCAGGTCTCCTTTCAGAGATAACAGGTGTCATGAAGGTGAGATGTGTTTATCCCGACTCTGTGTTGAAGAAAAAAGGAGCAGATCACACTGAGCAGTGAAGACTTTACGATAATTACTACAGCCAAACATCAGGCCAGAAAGAAAGTTTCTTACAAAGATGGGACTCAATACAAAAGTTCTGAATCTCTGCCCATGAAAAAAAAAAAATGAAACCATTCCCTTTGACATTGCCTCCTCATGCACGCTGATTTTTGATCGCTCCGTGGAAGTCTCGACTCCTCACACCGTTTCTGTATCATGTCCTGAATCACTCCCAGTTCGCCTGAATCGCAGCTTTTTCCACTTTCATTTCAGTTTGCGTCTGTGCAAGTATGTGCTGTTGCCATCTTAGCTTTATGACACCACGAGGATGGGCTGGATCTGACCAACTCCTGTAGCACTGGCTTGTCATTCACATAACTATAGCCTCTGACCCTGATGGGGAGCTTAATTTAAAAAAAAACAAAAAAACAAAAAAAAAACCAAAACTGCATGTTTTAAATATTTAAAAGTAGAAAGTGTAGTAAGTGGATGAATTAGGGGGAGGGGAGGGTAATTATTCCAAATATTTCCACAAAATCTGGCTTCTTTATGCAGCCAGATTACTCGACCATTAAAAGACTGCAGATATAAGGCACTAATGCACTGGCTTCATGTTTCAGACATGGAAGCAATGGTCATTTCTTCTGTACAGCTTCGGCTAATTTGCTTTCTGCCACACACGCTTTAGGATGTCTGACTTCAGGAGGTAAAAAGTGCTATACAAAACCTAATGCATGTGCAAAAAAGATGAAGCCTCCACAGGGTAAGAAATGTTACATATAGATTTCACTGCTTTAAATGCATGTTGTTTGTCTTGTGTAGTTGTAGTTGAGCAAAAAGCTAGACTATGCAGGTAAACAATGTAAGGCAACTAGTCAGAACTGCTTGCAACTGAACCAAAACTTGTAGGGGTTTTCCCCCGCACCTTCATTCCCATTGTGGCACTTCCTGAACAAAACATATTGTGACTCACAAATGCTTGGATGAAGAGCCAATATTCAGCGAATTTACATTTCTTCATTTCTGAGTAAAGCGAGCAATGCAACTGCTCTGACCAACCACATTTCAAGACGTTAAATTACCTCTCTAAATCTGAGGAAATTTGAGACTAATAAAAACTAGGGATGCCTTTTCAGATTCAGACAACCTTCAAAATCAGTCTGCAGGAACCCTGTTCTAGTTGCCCCCTTCACTCATTGTCAACTTTTCCAAACAACTTTGCGTGATCTTTTCCTTCCTTTCTACCACCGCCATGAGAGTTCTACCTTAAAACCCGTCTTTCATTTCAGCAGGTTTGTGAAGTCATTATTCCACAGTATTTCTTGCAGTGGATCGGATATTTTATATGGGAATAAAAATAACGATGGGCAGAATCTCTGAATCATTGGTGAACCACTGGTCAACTGCAGGTACTGCCTTCCAATTCGGGTTACGTCGTTGTTTCTAAGTTTGTGCCAGTAGGATTTATTTATGGGGTGGAAATGCATGGAACAAGTTCTAGGATTTCGCGATCTAAAACTAGCCATAGTGGTGTCCAAGGAAACAATTTTGAAGGAGAGATCAGCAAACATTAAAGATATTAAGAATTTTGATTAACATGGGCAGAGCTGTGGAGCTTTGCGATCACACACTGCTCAGTGTTTTCTCTTTGCTGCAGTTTATTCCTAACACAACTCAGGAAGTGCATTCAGGCCTGACCCTGTCCCATAACAAAGGATGAAAATCACTTGAGTTTTTGGCCATTTCAAAGTGGAAGTAAGTTTACTGACTGAATATTAGACAAATCAGTGTTCTACTCTGCTTTACATCAGCAGGAAATTATGAACAAACATAAAAGCACGTTTTCTGCATTGCCAGCCTAATGCATTTAAATCCCTGTTGCTGTAACAGTTTGTTCAACTAAAACTGCACAGCTTCTTTGGGGGCATTACAAACACACGGCTCAACAGGTTTTGCATAATAACCTCAGCTGAAAATCTGTACTGCTCATTAACAGATAATGTTACACAAAAACTTTGAATGTAGCCTCCGCCCAGAGCTGAGTCATCTGGTTTAAAAAAAACAACAAAAAACAAAACAAAAAACAGAGCTACCTTCATGACGCTGAAAACTCTTTAGGCTCAACGTACCTCGTTTCGTAGTGCACCCCTCTGGTGTTACTATACGACAACAGCGGCCGTTACACAAACTGTATGACTTGGTACACACATCGGCGGTACAGACTACACAGGAATTAGCTTCAGTTGCTGAGAGGCGCAGCATTTACAATTATTAATACTTGTTGATGCCAAGAATTCTGACTCCATGCAGCTGTGGCAGTTTGGGGATCAGGACACTCAGAAGCGAGGCAGTGTTGATGACAAAGTGTGTTGTGTTGTATTTTGTATAGAAACTTGCCAGGAAGTATCTGTAAAGGTGGGAAAAAAAAGACAGTGTGTTAGAAATACATTGCAGCATTTTGGTTTCAATCAAATAAAAATAGATAAATAAATACAACGCCTCCTAAAGTAAGTCACTTTCCACAGACACAAAAAGTAAAACATTTTTTCCAGTCTGCCACTGGGCTCTATGAATAGTTTCCCGTCTTTCACACTATCATAACAACTATACAGTACAGAACTATGTCACCAGCATAAAAACGGACATCATAGTTGGTCAATGTGAATGAGACTGGACCCAATACTGAACCCTGTGGAACTCCCCTAATCACGTAAAATGGTTCAGGTAATAAAGTCCTGAAACCATTTATAGGATAAAAATAAAAGACACACATATCCTCTGCTCAGGCCCAGAAATGCTTAGATGTTTTTATTTTCAGGGACAGTCTCTTTGACTCACATGTGGAAGCTGAGATGTGCAGCCAGGCTTCACCTCAGCCAACTGAAGTCACTGAGCTGTACCTCTCCACAGAGTTTGTGCCTTCCAGAGAATTGTGTGTTAATTATCTGTTAATTAATACCGTTTTCTGTGGAGTTACTAGGATGTGGAGTCTACCACCAATGGCTAATGGTTTACTATTGTACAACCATAGAAACTAAGAGGTTTTTTGTGGCACGCTGTAAACATCTTATTTCTGCTGTAGAGCATTTTAACATGGGAGTCTGTGTCACTGTTGGAGCCAGGCTCAAACGGGCATTCATGGATTCAAAATCTTTGGTAGTTCCATGTCACTAGTATCATTTTCCTAGAAGTTTCCACTTGGCATTCTCTCACACATGGTAATGTCCACAGAACTATCAGGGTTGGAGGTACATGTCTAAAGACAACAGGTTCAGAAAGAATCATTGGTATATAATACGTACAGAATAATTGGGGAGATGGTGAAGAACTTTCTAGATGAGGTGAACTGAACGCCATAGTCGAGCTGCTCCCAGTGAGTAAGAAGTCTGGCTTTTCCTTGGTCAGGGGTCTCAAAAGGGGTGCCTTTGACTGCATGCATGAAGACATACATTCCCTGTGGAGTGGAAACTGCGGTCAATAGTGTACTGACAGACTGGCCAAAAAGAAATGTGATGTCCTCTTATTGTCAACTACGAGGGCAATCTCAAAAGTAGGTCTCCTATTGTTTTAGAAATACAACCCATTTATTTTCCATAATATTTACATCATTTTAAAGCTTGAAGACTTATTTATTTTTCCTACATAATCACCATTTCGGTCGATGCAGTTTTACAATGCCCATGTCGATCTCCTGGCAAACTTTTGGTGGAACTTCATCACCCACCCACCCTACAGTCTGGACTTCAGACCCAGTGACTACCACCTGTTCCCAAAGTTGAAAGAACATTTGTCCAGTAGGCAATTCTGCAGCGGCCGTGAGCAGGTAATGACATGGGCATTGTAAAACTGCCACAGCGTCTACAACAATGCATCGACCAAAATGGTGATTATGTAGAAAAATAAGTCTTCAAGCTTTAAAATGATGCGAATATTATGGAAAATAAATGGTTGTTTGTATTTCCCAAAAAATAAATACCTTACTTTTGGGATTCCCCTCGTAAGTTAGCCATCTTGGGAGGTTCTAATTACATGTCTGTGTCCAAAACACTGGAGCTTTAGATGGAAAAAGCTGCAATACAGAGGGAAATGTAATGAAACTGAAGCGCTGACATACGGCCAAGAAATAATCACCACACTGATGGTGTATTGTGGTGGAAAACAATAGGCTATAGTTGACCTCAGCCGCTACTGTTAATAGCCTTCCTTATTGGCTGTGATACACAATCCTTGAGCTCAAACTGTTCAATGACGTCACCCACATCAACTCTCTTCATTTGAGGCCAGCCATGCAGCAATGAAAGGTCACTCTTGTCAGACTTTGAGGCATGGGGAAATTATCATAATAGGTCAGTCATCAGGCTGTCACAAGGAAAACCGCCTTAAGACAAAACAGGGTTCCTGAATCAAACTGATAAGCGTTAGAAATCAGAATTAACACAAAACTTTCTTGAAATAATATAGGGGATAGCTCAGTAGGTAGAGTGGTGGCCCATGATCGGAAGGTCGGGGGTTCGACTCCACTGAACGGCTACCCTGAGGTACCCCTGAGCAAGGTACCGTCCCTACACACTGCTCCCCGGGCGCTGCACTGGTGGCTGCCCACTGCTTCACTGGGTGAATGGGTTAAATGCAGAGGAACTATTTCCCTATGGGGACTAACACGCACACTTTACACTTTTACATAGAATTTAATGCTTTTCTTGCCAAACACAGAAAATTATTTTTTAATTATTTATTTATTTTAACTATGGACTGTTGGTTAGAACAAAACAAGGATTTTGAAGACCTCACTTTGATCTGTTAAATTTAAAAATGTTAACTTTGTTGTTTATTAACCCTCTAATAAAAGAAAATGTATTCAAATTAAATTTTGGAGGCGAATACTTTTTCAGTCTTTTGACCAATGTGGCTTTTTCAGGACCAATACAGATCCTTAGTAAACTTTGAGACAAATAAACAAAATCAGCATCTGACCTCACCATCCCACTTATGTAAAAATAATCAAAAAGACAACGTGATATATTTTGACACCACTAGAATCTTAAAAAACATAGCAAGATAAATAGACATACTGTATAGTAAAATATCAGTACATCGTCCTGCTCAGAGAAGGCCTTCAGTAGATGACCACAGCTGCATTATTTGACCATTTTTCTGTGACATGTGGCCATTACTAACCAGATTATAGAAATCTGATATTATCAAAGATGTAGGGCTCTGTTCCATCTTAAAAGAAAAAAACAAAACAAAGAAAACGCATCACTGTCAGTATTTTTCCTGAGTACTTGTTAAAAATAAACAAATGCAAATAAATTTTAGAGACTTTAATATCCAGTGAAGTGGACTTTTCAGGGAAACTGCGAGAGATGGTTTTCATTAATATTTATAAGTTATAAGAGAAACTTTAGCAGTGGATGAATTCTACTTTGAGCACATGCTGATTTTCCTGTTGCTTTGGGGACGTTGCTAATGGAAATAAAAGTTAATCCACGAGATCCTCATGTCTTTGGACACAGCAAGTGCAAGATTTGGAATCAGAGCTGCTGCTGAAACAGGTTAACGAAAGCGTGTCACATGTGAGTGAGTGTTGGCAAACCTGAAATAAACTACTGCTCAACCCACCAGGTCAGTCTGGGCTGTAACTCAGAGCATTTCCTGCAAGACATTTGGAGCGTGAACAGACTGAAAATCATGACCAAACCACTGCAGTTTAGCTGGCTTGTCCAGCGCCTGTGTGAAATACAGCAGCTGGAAGTCAGAGATGTCATATTTCAGTTTATGCAATGCAATTCAAAGCATTGAATTGCATTCTTTTCCCCCCCCCTCAATCATATTTTTTGTTGCTCCTTTTGGCACCATCTAAACAGCCTTTCTCTATGTAGAAAAACCCCTGAACAGCCTGGTTTGTTTCTGAAGCTCAGATAGCAGCACTGACACAGCATGAGAGAAAACTGAACTTACTAAGTTGTGAATGACATTTGTTAGAGTCCACACCACGGGCACGCTGAAGAAGGGTATGCTCAGGAGCACGATGTGAAGCACACCAACACCAAGTGCGTAGGTCAGCCAAATCCCTCGACTGTTCATCACTCGGGTGTTTGGGTTCACCTCGCTGTGAGCCACACCCACATTCATCCTGGTCTGTGGACAGAAAGACATTCACAAAATCACTTCTGTTATACACATTATAAAAAAAAGCTATTCCACCTGTTTTGTGTTAAAAAACCTGGAGGTTGAATGTTTAAACTGAATTCAAAGAGCTGAGCATCGAGGTGGAGAGAAACTGATTGCAGGGATTTAGGGGTGGAGTTGTATTTATAGATAACACCACCATAATCCAGCATCACTAATCCACCTCTTATTGAGTATGTTCACCCCATGTCTAAATGGGTACCTCTGATGCATTTTGCTAAAAAATAAATAAATGAATAAATAAATGAATAAATCCAACTTTTTAAAATGAGAGTTTCCTCACACTTAACTCCTCCGTGAAACTCACTGTAATCTATTGTGTTTAGTCTCATTTACATTTACTAATTTTAAGTTCTTAGACAACAGTGAAGGTTTGTTGCAGTTCAGTGGCAGAAACTTTTAATCTGACTGCATTTTAACATGGACAAAAAGAAAAAACAAAAACTCCACAAAAACAATCAAATTCAATAGGATGGTCAACTATGATCAACACTCAGCCCCTTTAATAGATACACCAGTCAAAACACTCATTAAGACGAATATCGGTAAATTAGCCAGAAATGCATTTAGACATATTTTAAAAATGTCCACAAAACCATTTCTAGTGTTTACAGAAGACGTTCCAAAAATGAAAAAAAAAAAAGACTCCAGAGAAAATATCTGGTTGATATGGTTGAAATATCTGCTTCGAGCTGACAACAGCAACTTAAAAACAACACTAACTCAAATAATTATCACAGTTATCCACAAGAGCATCTCTGATTACAAAAAATGTCCAATCTTTAAAAAGGTAATACCGAATGTATCTAATAAAGTGGCTGATAATTAGATAAATCACAGTAACAGCATGTACCGGGTTTAGCTCTGAAAAAACAAGCTGACTGTAACTGTATGAATTTTATCTCTATATGGTGCAGCTGTTATTTTGAAAATCAAATTACACTATCAAAGTATGTCTGTAGTACTTGGTATAACAATAACGGGGGTGGAGGGCCTTATGTAACTGGTTAAACTTTGGCCTCTGACACACTTTCTAAATAGATAAAGGACAGATCAGAGCTCAAGTTGTTATTAAAACAGCTAGCATAGTCCAGTAAGTGCATCGTTATTTTAACGGACAAATGACATATATACAGCACTGAGTGCGGCGGTTAATGACTCAAATTTTAATATTAGTCTCAAATAGTGTTCACTGTGGTCATTAACTGCTGCTCTTGTCAGCAGACATGCAAATGATATTACAGAAAGACCCAGGAAAAAAAAAAGTCACTATCTGCTTAACTTTTGTGTAACAGCACACCACACTAGCCTTAAAATCACCCAGGAGGCACCAAGTCAACTTATGTTCACTGCACTTGTTATGAAACTGGTGTAAACCTGGTATTTAGCAGCAACCCAACCCTCACAAATAGTTGTATAAACAAGGAACGCCTCCCTTGATTGTTTTTTCCCAGGATATAGCCGGACCCCCGAACAACCACTCTTCCTAAACCAAGTTGAATTCAATTAAATACAAAAAGGAAAAGAAACCTCCGACAATCCCAGAGTGCGAGACTTACAGCTAGTAGCAAGCAGTGAAGGTATTTGCACGAACAAACTGCTGCAAGAGAAACGCTTTTTCCTCCTGTTGTGCTCAGCTCCCAGACAGTGCAGACGGCACGACGTAGACGGACACCACCGGAAGTAGACGCGGATTTAGGGAGTTTTTACCCGGGGTATTTTTAACTCCACGGTTTGACTTGTAAGGCCGTTTCCCCGCCCCCTAACGGCTCACACCAATCAATACGCCAATGAATAAATACTATGGGAATACATGTTATTTATTTAATGTTTAAATACATTTATTTAAATGTATTTAAATTCATAAAATATTTAAATATTAATTTAATATTTAAATATAAATTTTTATTTTTAATTTTTATTTTTCATAACAAGTGCAGTGAACATAAGTTAACTTGGTGCTTCCTGGGTGATTTTAAGGCTAGTGTGGCGTGCTGTTACACAAAATTTAATTATTTTTAATATTTAAATGTTAATTTAATATGAAAAGTTTAAAAAGCGGTTTAAGGATATGGTTTTTACAGGGTACAGGGAAAAGGTAGAGATTTGATAGGGTGTTCTTGTCTAATATTTTCATGTGTGTGCGGGTGCACGGGTATGTTGGTATGGGTATATAAATATATATATTTGTAGGTTGTGTATCCTTGAGGTGTTAATGGGGTTATTGAAAATGTGTATATGTGCGTATGTGTATATACCTATGTATGGATAGATAGAAACATATATGTATATATATATATTAAAAAAATTACACATAACATATAATGTAATTGCAAGGAGGTATTTCTGTAGTCTATTGATACTAGATAGTGGAAAAGGGGTGGGATTAAATAAGCTTATGCTTCTTCCTGCTCCCTTTTTGAACATGAACGTTATTTGGAGTTGTGGTTGCTCGTTTTCCTTTTGTTTTGCTTTGTTCATTTGTCTCTTTTAATTCTATTTTGTTGTACTTTTTCAACATGTTCAAAATAAAGATTCAATCAATCAATCAATCAATCAATCAAAAATACATAAAAAATGAAAAATAAAGAAATGTCCAAATGGCATGCCTGTTCTTATCCCTGCACACAGGATGTCACATCACATCAAGCAGGTAACATTAATTTAATTTAATTTAATTTAATTTAATTTAATTTAATTTAATTTAATTTAATTTAATTTAATTTAATTTAACTTAATATGGGGTGGCATGATGGTTAACACTGTTGCCTAACACCAAGAAGGTCTTTCTGTGGAGTTTGTATGTTAACCCCATGTCTAAATAGGTACCTCAACTTCCTCACACAGTCCAAAGACAACCACTTAGTGGGGTAAGGTTAACAAGTGATTATAAGTTGCCCATAAGTATGAGTGCAAATGGTTGTCTGTCTCTCTGTGTTAGCTGCCACAGGTGCAGAGGTGCAGAGAATAACATCAAGATTGAAAGGGACCGTTTAGAAGATGGTAGTGAGACCTGCTATGAATTGTGTTTTGCAGATGGTGCGACAGACAAATTGACTGATTTTTAGATTTCTTGTAAATAAAATGAGAAATAAGAAAAACAATGCCCAAAACTGCCAGCTCTAACTCCGGGCAGACTGCTCTTTAGACTCCGCCTACGCCTGACTTATAGCCAATCAATATGCAGCGAAGGGGGGAGGGCGGGAAAACAGTAACTTCCGCCTGTGGTTCTCCGTGTCCGTTGTTATGAACGATTGAAGCAGAGAAGCAGTTTTATGTTAGTATTATTTAGCCGCTTTATTGAGCTAATTATGGCTTTGTAACATCTGTACGTAAGTTTGAACTAAAATTGAAATTTAAATCTGAGCTAGCAAGTCTGAGCAGCTTAAAGGAGGTGTGGAGAGCAGTTAGCTAGTCTTAAAGTACAGTTTCATTTTGTGTTTAAAGAAATGTGGATAAATTGTGCCTTAAATGAAGTGAATATATCTTAGTGCCGTTGCTTTTTTGACTGCCTTTACTGGTAAATTACTGTTAGCTGTGATCACTAATTCATCGATATAAAAGGACGTTTTCATGTATCAAGGAGCAGCCAATTTTACAAACCGTAAATACTATTTCTTTAATCAGCAGCAGTAAACGAGTATTTCTGGCAGAAGCGCCTGAAAAGTTAAGGATTCCGTCTACAGTCATCAAGGCAGAGTTGTTAATTAATGTAGATAAAATGTCCCCTTGAAATATCTGCTCTTATTTCCATGTATAGATTTTAACTGCAGGAGGGTCCACTGAAGCTGGTTCAGCGTTTCTTTGGGTTTCATGTAGAGAAGTTAAGAGACTGAACTCATAAACACTTACATGGGATGGCCCGCTGTGTTTGAGCAGGCAGCTAAAATAAAGACTGGAGGTGTAAGAAGTTAGGGAGTAACCTGCAGGTTTCTGGGTTGAGATTTTTGTACAGGATTCCTGATTTTTAAAAATCACATAAATACAATAAATCTAATTAGTGACTTCAATAAACTAAAAAAGTTTGAATCATGCATGCCCCTAATACACAGTGAGTGTCGACAAACTGAAGAATATTCTTGTACTGTACACTGAAAGAAAGGGAAATACTTGGACACGTTTTTCTTTATATGTTTGTGTACAATTTTATGAACTTGTCCACCCCACTTCAGCGCAGATTGCATGTATCTGATGAGCTTAAAGCAGTCTGACACCACTGAAAATGTGGATAACCAAGATCATATAAATATTACATTCAATAAAATTGGTCAGAGGACACAAATCCTCTTTTTGGGGACATCCAGGATAATACTCTGCCGAATCAAATATGTGGTGTCACCCACTATTGCAAGGGATCAAAAGAAAGATCAGGAGCATGTTTATAAGGGCTATCCCTTGGCCAGCTATTCTCCTATTATTCTTGTGACTAGATGTGCCACTAAATCCAGATGTTTCACCTTAGCAGATAACTGTAGTCATGAAGCAGCTGCCCCCGGACACTGTGCGTCTGCTGTCCAGCTCCCAGGTCATTACGTCTGTGGTGAATGTTGTCAAAGAGCTGATCGAGAATTCCCTGGATGCTGGAGCTTCAAGCATTGATGTTAAACTGGTAAAGTACTTAATTACAGCTAATGTTACAGGGGAAAAAAATTAATTTATTTAAAAACCTTGATTCATGCAGAAGCAAATGCAGTAACCAGTCTGATTTCCTCCAGTTAATTACCCCTGTTAGTGTATTTTACTTGAATTTATTATCATATTTATTTAACATTAATGATGCAATGATTATGAATAATGATGTGAGTGAAAATAAATCATTAATATTAGAGCATTTTGACTGCTGCTGCAGTCACTCTTCAGATCGTAACAGCTTTGAGTTTGATTTCCCTTCATGTTGCACTACTTTTATTGACATTTTAGGAAAATTTTGGCCTGGACCGTGTAGAGGTTCGTGATAATGGGCAAGGAATCAAAACTGTAGATACTCCTGTGATGGCTGTGAGACATTTCACCTCAAAGATCTGCAGACATGAAGACCTGGAGCATCTGGAAACGTACGGCTTCAGAGGGGAGGCGCTGGGTTCCATTTGCGCCGTGGCTGAGGTGTTCTATTAAAACTCAAACACTCGTGCTGTGTAAATTACAGCCGCTGACACCTCAATGTGGCTAAACTGAAGTTTTGTGTCATTTCCCTTCAGGTGGCTGTTACCACAAAGACAGAGGAGGATGAAATCAGCACCCAGTACACAATGGACTTGACAGGGAAAATTGTTTCCCAGAAGCCGTCTCATTTAGGTCAAGGTACGGCACAGACAGCAGAGCAACAAGGAAAACTTCCTTTTTAAAAAATATCTAAAAAACGAAAATTAAGTTGCTTCAGATATGAGGGCAGAATTTATTTTAATCCCGGTGAACAGGAAACTTAATATTGATGTTTACAAAATCAGCCAGCAGACACATTATAAACAGTGCTGTTCGTGAATTATTATTGGAAAAATAGAAGTGTTTTACTTTTATGGAAATATGAATATAAAAATTTAAAAACATCAAACACCACCCATCACAAAAGTTCTTAAATAGGTTAGCTCAATAAGAAAAATTAAAATGAAATATGACAAACCAAAAATAGTTCAGTAAGGTAAACGCTATAGAGAAGAGCAAAGGTCAGGAAAAATTGGAGTATAATAAAGAAAGATAAAAATAAATAATAATAATACATTGATTGTATGGAGGACCAAAATTTAAAAAAAAAACAAAAAACTTTCTCCTTATTCTCCTCTCTGTTTAACTTCCAGTTTATTTTGAAATTAATTGATTAGTGCATTTATTGATTAACTTGATTATATTTGCTTTAGAAAAATAAAATAGAAGTAATTAAAGTGTATTTATTTCTCTATTTTCTTTTTAATCTTCTTTTAAGGATTTCTTCTTCGTTATGTGTAACAAAAAGAAAAATAAATAGGGAAATCTATAAAAATAGGAAATAATAAATCAGTGATGCTATCACACAAGTACACTTGTTTATTGTGTGTTAAATTGGAAAATGCAAGTCTGCATCCATAACTGTGCAAAACATAGTAGATTTACTATTACACAAATACTCTGTTTAGTTACTCTATTTATTGTTTAATTGTATAAAGTGTCCTTTAATGATGGAATAATAAAACAGGAATATAAATCAATGGACGAGTTTAATAAAGGTAAAAAAAATACAAGAACAAGTGAAAACAAATGTCAGTTTACATCAGTTTTTAAGCTTACTTTAGATATAATTTTTAGGCTAATTTTGGTGTGTTAATACATTTAGTATTTTATTTATGTACATACTTTTAATTTTTGCAATTTTTTTGTCTGCCATATTATCAACTCTAATTGTTGCATGAAAATATAATTTTAGGTCACCTACTCTGTTCTGTTTCTTTTGCAGGGACGACAGTGAGTGTAATGAAACTTTTTAAGAACCTTCCAGTGAGACGTCAGTGTTTCTCTTCTACCAAGAAGTGCAAAGAGGAGCTGAAGAAGGTGCAGGATCTGCTGATGGCCTACGCCATTATCAAACCGGAGCTGAGACTCATGCTCGTTCACAATAAGGTCAGTAACTCGTCCACACAACTTAAGAAGAGAAATAAACATTACTTATATACAACCTTTAAAAACAAAGTGCTAGTACATAC